AAAGAGAGATCCCCCCTTGTTGCATTTTATCATTTATTATGAGTTAATGGGCCAGAATGATATGAAATTAATTGATAAAACTGGCGACATAAACTCGATTTAGGCTAATTCATTTGGTAATTTGAAAAGTAGCGGAAAATCGACAAAATATTGCAATTTTAAATTATTTCTGAACCTGTAATATTATAAATATTTTTCAATGAAACTAGAAATACTCATTCTTTGATGGAAGATCAACAATATCTGTCCATAAATCAAGAGAATATATCACTGGCAGAAGTTTGAAAAATTTTTAAATTTTCAATTTTTTGCATTTTTGCAAGTGATGACAATGAATATTATATCAAAACTGGCCCGTGCTATAAAAATTACATACACGGTAGAGGTACTTGGGTAAAGACCTAATTTATAAGTGGGGTTTCATTGGGATTGGTGTCGAACAATTCATGTGGTTTTTTTGTGCAGAATCAAAAATTGAAAAAAGTTGAAAATTGAAAAGTTTTCAGTAAAAGAAATGAGATTTCATCAGTAATCCGAAATTTTACACAAAAATCATTTCATTTACCTGATTGTAAAATTAGATACCTACTTCATTTTTCCTAGGAAAATATTTCAATTTTTTTCCCCCATTTCATTTATCTGAATGAAACCCGACAAAGGACAAATCATTGAGACATTCTTCAATCGAGATAAATTAGAGAAAATCCGAGATTCCAACAGAAGAGAGGGCATAAAAATTAGCTAATGATGATAGAATGACGAGAGAGAAAAAAATTAGGGGTGTAAATTCCTTACTTTTTACTGTGCACATTCTTTGCAATGAAAATTGGGGCAAAAAAAGTACATATTTATACACATTCCTATTAGAGCCATACGATCAGGGGTGGCAAGTTTGATTTTTCCAAGTGGTGCATGGTGCAAAATCAATTCATGTATTTTTTCCCCCCAAATTCAATCAAGAAGTTCCTACCCCCTCCCCTAGAAAGTTTTTCCGACGTTTTTATCATTAATTCTCTAGAGCAAACTTTATGACCTCATTTGGGGTTAAAAATGAATTTTTCCCAATTTTTTCTGGTAAAACTAGGTGCAAAGTTCAATTTCTTTTCACAATTGTTCCAAGTAGTGCAAATTTGGTTTTTTTCGAGTGGTGCAGAGTACTAAAACAATTTTCCCGAGTGGTGCACATGCACGCCGGCACCACTCAACTTGCCACCACTGCATACGATGTGAGTAAAAGGAGGTCACAAAGAGGACAGACCCCTTTCCTCCAAAACGTTTTCGACATGTCAAAATATTTTCTAGGATAAAAATTAATGCAAAGTAAAAACTTACCAGAAAAGTATACGAAGGGTATTGGCGATTAACAGGGCAAGGCATACGTAGAGGGAGAAGCCTTCGGCGTCCTGCTTCAGATGTATCTCTCGGTATTGAGGAATGTAAGGTATCACTCCTCCGAATATCATAATCGTCGCGCTTACCCATCTTATGACCCGACGGATGGACATTTCTCGCATCTCCTCCATCACGGGTTCCATAATATAAACGTGAATTGGCGTATAGGACGAGTTCTGCGCTTGAGTTTCTCTTAATTGGAACACCAGGTTTTGCCATACTGTAACATACATTTGTGCCAATGATTGAATTAACGATTAACGAGAGGGTAAAACGAGAGTTTCAATTCAGCTTCCAATTTTAGCCAATTGAACCGCGTATATTCTAAGAGCACTTCGACTGAATAAACTGAAACTACGGAAATTACTTTGCATCCTACTCGGACGAAAAAATTCCGCTATAAATGAGAATTTCATCGCTGAGACGATATCAAACTGTTTAGACAGTCGCAAAGATAGCGGAGATAAGAGTAATCTGCTGAAAAAAAATATTCATCATATTTTCAAAAACACAACGCGGAACATCCCATAAAATTATGACGAAGCTACGGCGGGCATAGAAATTATTTAAACCAGGGAC